CAAGGTCAAAGTGATGAGTGGAGAGATACTGGAGGGCTGGGCCTGGACAGCTGGCCTCAATCTGCAGAGGGAGGCTTCTGTCCCTACAGGAAGCTCTTCCTCCTTCTTTTCGTTAAGATTTATTTTGTTTTAAAAAGTTATTTGAAAGGCAAAGTTACAGAGAAAGGGAATGACAGAGAGAGATCGTCCATATTTTGGTTCACTTCTCAAATGGCCGCAACCGTGGGCTGGGCCAGGCAGAAGCAGGCCTTGGGATTGGGGTCTCCTCTCCAAGACTGCAGTCTATAAGGAACTGCTGGACTCCTGCTGGCTCTTTGGCTGATCTGTCACAGGTGGGAAAGAGCCTCTATGGCGACCCAAGACCCAAGGTGAAAGATAAGGAAACCAGAAAAGCAGCTGTACGTTTGGTAACATCTGAGCTTACTTATTGATCTGTCATTAATGTCTGGAGATGGATTTTCATAGAATTGCAATACTACCCTATTACTTTCCTTAAAATAAAATTCTTGATTTGAAAGGCAGAGTGACACACACACACACACACACACAGGAAGAGAGAGAGAGAGACAGACAGACAGAGGGAGATCTTCTATCCACTGGGTCATCCCCCAAGTGTCCCCAACAGCCATGTCTGGGCCAGGCCAAAGCTGGGAGCCAGGAACGCCACCCAGGTCTCCCATGCCGGTGGCAGGAACCCAGGTATCGTGCCATCTTCTGCTGCCTCCCCCGAAGCCGGACCAGAAACAAGAAGCAGCAAGACTGGAGCAGGCACTCTGCTATGGGATGCGGGCATCCGGAGTGAAGATTAACCTGCTGTGCCACAACACCCGCCCCCTCTATTACTTTTCTCTGTGGCCCAGGGCCTCGTTTGCAGTTTCACCTATTATCACATGAAATGCATACCTCACAGGAATGTTTCGGGAGTGACTAATTGAAGTATGTTTTAAATGCCAGACTGTACCGGGTACCTTATTAAATCCTGGAAACATTACCCTTTGCCTGAAGGGAATTGAATCACCTACCATAAACCATTAAGTTAGAACTGAGCACTGGTCCTCCCATAAAATGCTGAAAGTTCTAACTTCCACACATTCGACACTTGTGATTTAACAAGACAGACCAAAAAAAAAAAAAAAAAAAATCATAGCTCCTTGTGGGCACACTGCATCACAAACTAACGTACAAACATGCTACTCTTTGCGAAAACTTTCAGAAACTGAAATCTCACGTGTGCTAACCAAGCAGTTCATTCACTCACTCAGCATTGCCTCTGTACTCTTCTAGGTTCCAGAAATAGAAAACACAAATGTAGCCCAAATGGGTGCCAGTCTACAGGATCTTAACTGGTCTCCGGGGATAAGCAGAGTGATGGGAGGGCGGGGGCGGGGAGAAGTGTTCTCTCTGATTTCCTTCCTCCAGTATTTTTCCAGTAAGTTCTTACCCAGGAGGATAAATTGCCTGAAAGTGGCTTACAGGAACACTGGGCCTCTTAAGGCAAAGGCAGTTTAACCATAAAGTTTATAAGGGAGATTAACAGAAGCTGGAATGTGATAGTGCAAAGACCTCTTTGCCTTCAGTCCCAACCCTGAGGCTGCTCTTAGAACCCCAGAGACACAATACAAGGGGCCTGGAGTCTGGATTTCTCAAGCTACTGAAGTTCAAGTGCTACCCCACACCAGCTTATCCTCTCTCTACAGAATCCTGGAGGGCTTCGAGTTGAACGCCCCCCACTCCAGAAGGTTGGGTGGGTGTTGTGACAGGGAGGATCGGGCCACCACCTTCGACACTGGCACTGCAGGCTCCAGTCTTGGCTGCTCTGCCTCCAAGTGCTAGACCCCTGCCACCCACATGGGAGACCCGGATATTCAGGGAGTGGATCTTGAGGCTCAAAGCCTATAATGTAAAGGTAAGACCCAGCCTCTCATCTGTCTCCCTTAGCCCAAGGTGTCCTTGCCTGTCCTTTATATCAGAAGGAATTCATTAACTTAAGAGTGGTACAGCTGGCCCAACGAGGTTCTAATCACCAGACTCAAGGAGTCATTGCTTCTCCCATAGACAAAACCCTGTAGGCCACTATTGTACAGAGGGCTTTGTACAGATGAACTCCAGGTCCAGGCAGGGAAGTTCCAGGTCTGGGGCAGAAGGTTCTACCATGTACATGTAACCCCCAGACCAACTGGAGCCCACCCGACCATCATAAATTCTTGAAAGAGCACAGCATTGCTGACCAGTCAAAGGAAGGTTCTGAACACCACCGACCAACAAGGGACTTGAACATGAGCTGATCATATACCTCTCAGCTCCAGTTTCAATCTATAAGAACCTTCACCCTTGCCGGCGCCGCGGCTCACTAGGCTAATCCTCCGCCTTGCGGCGCCGGCACCCCGGGGTCTAGTCCCGGTCGGGGCGCCAGATTCTGTCCCGGTTGCCCCTCTTCCAGGCCAGCTCTCTGCTGTGGCCAGGGAGTGCAGTGGAGGATGGCCCAGGTGCTTTGGGCCCTGCACCCCATGGGAGACCAGGAAAAGCACCTGGCTCCTGGCTCCTGCCATCGGATCAGCGCGGTGCGCCGGCCGCAGTGCGCCAGCCGCGGCGGCCATTGGAGGGTGAACCAACGGCAAAGGAAGACCTTTCTCTCTGTCTCTCTCTCTCACTGTCCACTCTGCCTGTCAAAAAAAAAAAAAAAAAAAAAAAAAAAAAAAAAAAAAAAAAAAAAAAACCTTCACCCCTAATTCCCTGGGGAGCCCGAGAATTAAGCACGAGCTGCCCTGCTCTTTGCTCTGCACGTTGGGATAAACACCTACTTTCATCCTCCACCCCACGTCAGTGATTGGCTTTCTGTGCATTGAGAGAGTGGACCCAGGTCGGGGGGGGTCCTATAACAACAGCTCCAACTAGTATGAAGGTTGCTCTGCAACAATTGCTTTGTCTCTGTCTCTCTGCCTTTCGAGTATATAAAAAATAAACAAATACTTATATTTTAAAAAACTTTAAAAAATCATTATATTAAAAAAAAAGGAGTTGCTGGGGAGAACCCTTCCTGGATGCAGCGGGGTCCCCACTCAGCCCCTCTAGTGCAGGCTGGGCACACATAATCCCCAGCATTTCCCTGGGACCACTCTCCAGTTCCTCCTCCCCAGCACCACGGAGCGGGGCTTTGTGTAGAAAAGCAAGCTTTGGTCTCCCTGCACAGAGTTCTGCTTAAGCTCCTGCTTTCCATTTAGTTCCTGGTAAGAAATCTCCCAGCTTCGGAGCCAGGGAGATCTTTGGTAGCCTTGGGTCTTGTTTCACACCAGTGTCCCCAGGGGAAAGTGAATTGCAAGGTGACAACAGGAATTAGTAGGAGATGCCCAGGCTGGGAGTCAGCAGGCCAGTTTCTGCCTCTCTAAGCTGAACACCTAGAAAGAACCACTTCTTGGGTAAACCTTGGGCTCTTCTGAGGCAAGGCAAGTGTACTTTTTTTTTTTTTTGCTAACAGTGCACCATTTTATTTTCCGAAGTTTTATTTATTCATCTTTATTTGAAAGGCAGAGGTAGAGACAGAGGAGAGTTCATTCATTGGTTCACTTCCCAAATACCTGTAATAGCTAGGTCTGAGTCAGGCTGAATCCAAGAGCCTGGAACTCTCTGGGTCTCCTACATGGGTGACAAGGACTTAAGTACTCAACCACCATCTGCTGCCCCCCAAGATTACATCAACAGGAAGCTGGATTGGAGGTGGAGTAGGTGGGACGTGAACCAGGCACTCTGATAGGGGATGTGGGTGTCCCAGGCAGCAGTTAAACCTGCTGTTCCACAATGCCGCCCCTCCCTTCCAGAAATGAAATGATTCCTGTTCTGGGGACTAAGCTATGTGCATGTGTACATTCATCCATGCCTCTCTCTTCCCCCCAAAACAGTCTGAAGCTTGAAGCAGCTTATGAAATTCAACAGAGTTAAAAAGATTTTGCAGGTGTACAGAACCAAGAAGAGGAATAGCAAATCAACAAATCTAAAAAGACCCACTCTTGAAAACACTCTAGAAACCCAACTGTTTTACTGGAAGATTTATTTAGTTATTTGAAAGCAGAGTTAAGAGAAAGAGCAATTTTCCATCTGCTTGTTTACTCCCCAAGTGGCCGCAATGACCGGAGCTGGGCCAGACAGAAGCCAGGAGCCAGGAGCTTCATCTGGATCTCCCGGAGGGGTGGCAAAGTCCCAAAGACTTGGGCCATCTTCCACTGCTTTCCCAGGCATATTAGCAGGGAGCTGGATTGCAAGAGGAGCAGCCAAGACTGGAACTGGTGCCCACATGGGCGCAGGCGGCAGCTTTACCTGCCATGCCTTAACATCAGCCCCAAGCGCAACTGTTGTAATAGTTTCTTTTTGGGTGTAGGGATTATCAGAAATATACACTTTCTCCAATTTTCTTATTTCCAAAAGTGGTCATGAATTATTTTTCTCGTTGGAAAAGAACAATTGCAATGGCCTTGGCTGGTGACCTCCTTCCTTATCTCCCACTGTGTAGCAGGTGCTAGGCGGAGATCTGCAACACAACTTCCTCATAGCACCTACTCATAGCTTTGTCATAGTCTGGCATGCTTGCTTGCTTCCTTTTTTCTTTTCTTTTAAAGATTTATTCATTTATTTGAAGGGCAGAGTGACAGAGAGAGAGAGAGAGAGAAAGAAAGGTCTTCCATCTGCTGGTTCATTCTCTAAGAGCCCATAACAACCAGAGCTGGGTCGGGCTGAAGCCAGGAGCCAGGAACTCAGCCTGGGTCTCACATGAGTGGGAGGGACCCATGCATTTGGGCATCACCTGCTGCTTCCCAAGGTGCCCGTTAACAGGAAGCTGGAGGTGGGAGTGCAGCCAGGACTTGAACTCTGAGGCTGCATCTTAAGTGCAGTTCCTAACACCTGCCCCCAGAGGCCGCTCTTCCCTCTAAACACCCATTCTGCTTTCTTATCTCTGCCCCCAAGCCTGCTCTGCTCCTCATTCACTGCCCACCACATGGAGAACTGGCAACCCACCAAGAACATGAAAAACGGCGAATGCACACTTAGAAAATAGGATGGCTCGTAAGCAGAAGCAATAATGCTGTTCTTTCTTTCACTGAGGTAGCTTTTGAAAAGAATACCGACTGTTAACAGAGGTGTTGTGAAATAAAGCTCTCTTGTACTCACACTAGAGGAAAATGAGAACATAGAGCCAACTTTGTTATATTTACCAGGAACTCAAAATATTCATCTCTCTCAATCCAGCAGGTTTTAATTCCAAAGGCAATACACTAAAGTGTGGTAAAGCTTTATGGCTTAAGAGAAAAGACATTACTTATTTTTCTATTATTCACCACTGATGACAATAACATTTTACATGGTAAAAGCAACTAGGAGGAACACTCAGCCATGGAGGAATTGGTAAGCAAATTGTGGTACATTTTCTATGAGAAAGAATGCAAAAATTGTTTTATATTTCCAATAACAGGGAAATGACTGCCTATTGCAGACTGAAAGTAGCAGGATCTGAAATGACATAATCAGTGTAACTGAGCTGCACACAAATGCACAGAGAAAAATAATGCAGAGCTGTTAACAGCAATTATGTCTCAACAAAACAGTTTTACTGTCTTGTTCATGCTTTTTCATACTTCCTGGATTTTCTGCAATGAGACTGAATGTTGCAATGAGAAGAAAAGCTTCTAAATTTTCTACCCGCCAATAACTGGTTCCAAATTTTGCACAAAAAGGAGGTTCTTCAAGATTCATGCCAGCCTGGCCTACAGAAGGTGTCCGTTCACCACTCACCACAAAGCCGTTGTGCGGCACAGGGATCAGAGGGGTAAAATCCGCTTCTAAGATACTGGATTCTGAAACCACATTCGACTACTGTTTACAAAACCGCTTTGGGTGACTGATGAAAACGTGTGACATCAATGTCAGGAGACATTGAACGTGCACAGTCTGCAAGCACACAGAGTGTTCAGTGACGCGCCAGAAGCAGAATTCATTTTGCACGACTTCCCTGAAACAGATATGCCAAATGGTCTACAGGATGTCCACACAGCCTGGAAACTGGTGAACGCACACAACACCGCCAAGGACATTGCCAGTATCACACACACACACACACACACACGCACACATGCACACGCTGTAGACTTTATGTTGAATGGAAATCGAGTTCCACATACTGGAATTGAGTTGAGCGTGACCCAGAAATGCTCATCAGGAGAGTAGGTGTCCTTGGACCACTCGAATAAATCGATGGTCCTCGGGTTTTGAAGAACAAAGTTAGCAAATTCCCTTGTAAGAGCCACATAGGCGGATCCAAAGTAAATGGTCAGGTTATGAGGAGCAGGTGCCTTCCTCCTCCAAGTCCACACCATGAAGGAAAACCAATGGTGGCCGGCGCCGCTGCTCACTAGGCTAATCCTCCACCTTGCGGCGCCGGCACACCGGGTTCTAGTCCCGGGCGGGGTGCCGGATTCTGTCCCGGTTGCCCCTCTTCCAGGCCAGCTCTCTGCTGTGGCCAGGGAGTGCAGTGGAGGATGGCCCAAGTGCTTGGGCCCTGCACCCCATGGGAGACCAGGATAAGTACCTGGCTCCTGCCATCGGATCAGCGCGGTGCGCCGGCTGCAGTGTGCCAGCCATGGTGGCCCTTGGAGGGTGAACCAACAGCAAAAGGAAGACCTTTCTCTCTGTCTCTCTCACTATCCACTCTGCCTGTCAAAACACACACACACACACACACACACACAAACACCATGGTAATTCTGCTCCAGGTGCGTGTATTTGGTCCTTCTGATAACAGGAGGAGGGGGCAGCCCCCCGGGGGTGATGTTCTTCTCTTTGAACCCTTTCAGGTACTGAATGATTTCCCTGTTCGTTTTCAAGGGGAAGTCCTGCCCACAGGTGTTGATGGTGTACTTCCAGGGGACATGGGAGGCCACGAGGTCCTGCAGCCAGTTCAGGTCGGCCTGCAGCCTGGAGATGCCTGCGTAGACCACAGACTCCCTCTTTGAAGCCATAAAGGCATTTGCAAAGCAGTCCAGTAGCTTTCCCACGAGATGTTTGAGAGCGGCTGGCACCTTCTTATCCACATGAACACAGTAGATGGTCAGGAGCGTGTAAATGGCCCCGAAGAGCCTTTCGAATGTGTCAAAGCCCTTGTGCATGACCATGACGTAGGCCAAAGGGAACTCGGCTTCCTCTCTGGACAGAGGTTGCATTATGTAGTGGTTGCGCATCAAGTACTGTTGGCAAGTTATATGTCTCAGTGGTGTCATCTGCATATTCGCACGCCAGAGAATTTTCTTTCCTGTCATGATCCTGTCACAGGCTTCTGCAAGGACTGAAGCATTTGAGATTTCCTCCAGGCTCAGGTATTCTCAAGAGACTAAACTGTTGGTATACAGCCGGAGAAGAGTCACAGACACGGCCATAAGCCCTGTGACGAACACAAGCAGCTTCCGCTTCATTTTCGTGCCATCTCTTCTTCATGTGTCACTTGCTGGACTTCATACCATTACTGAAGTCGGCCTGCAGGTCCTTGCCCAGGCCCTCAAGCAATCTGCTCTAACTTCTCATGTCTGGTAAGATGAGGAGAATGGCTGTGCATTGAAAGGAAGCTATTCTCTGATACAAAAGGAATGCAGTGGATCTGAGAAGATGAGACGCTGAGACGAGCTGACAGACTCAACACCTCCGTCTAGTTCAATGTCAAGTTAAGACCCCGCCACACTAGCCAGGGCTGCCAGCTCCGGGCGGTGTTCCTCCATAGGGCAGGGGTGGGGTGCGTGTCTGTCTTGCAGCGCTTTCTCCCCTGAGAGTGCCACACTCAGGATCACTGATGTCGCAATGTTTCTGCAATGCTGGGCAGCCACTGCGGTCCTCAGGTCAGTGCGGACATTGTCAGCGCTCAGAATTGCTTAGCAACCTCATCTCTTGACCTACAAATAAAGATCAACAATTTATTCCCCTACCACATTCAACTCACAAATGGAGAAGACTGAAAAGGAATTGTAACTAATTTCTATCATGCATTAATTTCCATCATCTTGTTGACGAGCTAGAAGGTTAGCACGGACATCATAAGGGTTCTTCACTGCCTGCCTGGTGACTCTCGCCTGCTCTCCCAAATCTGAGTTGGGAGTCCCTGCACCTGCCCTGATACAGCCTAGTACTCCCTATAATTGCTGGTTTGTTTGCTCTACCATTGGCTATGGAGGATTATTTGTGTCTGCTAATCACCGTATTTTTAGCACCTGGTTTATAGTAGGCACTCATCATTGAATTAACTCACCGCTCTTCTCCTCTATACCAGCAGCCAGTAAAACTACAGCTGGGGACCCCGTCTAGCCACCTGCCTAGATACAACCTGTGAGCTAAGAATGGTTTTACATTTTGTGGCTGATGCTGTGGTACAGAAGGCAAGCCAGCACTTTAAAAAAATTATTTATTATTTGAAAGTCAGAGTTAGAGAGAGAGAGAGAGAGAGAGATCCTCCCTCTACTAGTTCACTCTCCAGATGGCTACAATGGCTAAGGAACCAGGAACATCATTCAGATCTCCCATGTGAGTAGCAGGGCCCCAGACACTTGGACCATTTTCCACTGCTTTCCCAGGCACATTAGCAGGGAGCTGGATCGAAAGTGGAGCAGCCAGGACATGAACCAGTGTTGCAGGTGGTGATTTTACCTACCATGCCATAATGCTGACCCCAAGACATCCCTTATGACAACAGCATGCTATATTAGAGTGCTGGTTTGACTCCTAGCTGCTCCATTTCCCATCCAGCTCCCTGTTAGTGTACCCAGGCAGGCAGCAAATGATGGCTGAAACACTTGGGTCTCTGCCACCCTAGTGGGAGACTTGGATGGAGCTCCTGGCTTCAGCCTGGCCCAGCCCTGGCCATTGTGGCCATCTAGAGAGTGAACTAGCAGAGGGATGATCTGTCTCTCTCTTCCTGTCTCTGCTTCTCTCTCTGATACTTTGCCTTTCAAATGAATAAATAAATCTTTTTTTTTAAAGAATAGTTTACATTTTGAAACAGCTGGGAAAAATCCAAAGAAGAAAAATATTTTATGATGTGTGAAAATTACACATAAAATTCAAATCTCAGTGTCCATAAATACAGTTAGACTGGAGTGCAGCCAGGCTGCCTCGCTCACATCCTGTCTGCTTTCACATTGCATTGGCAGAGTTGAGCTGTGGCAGCAGAAACTACCTGGCCACCAAAGCCTAAACTGTTCACTGTTGGACACTTACATTGCTGAATCTTTTTTTTTTTTTTAATTATTTGACAGGTAGAGTTATAGACAATGAGAGAGAGAGACAGAGAGAAAGGTCTTCCTTCTGTTGGTTCACCCCCCAAATGGCTGCCACGGCTGGAGCTGCGCCGATCCAAAGTCAGGACCCAGGTGCTTCTCCTGGTCTCCCATGCGGGTGCAGGGCCCAAGCACCTGGGCCATCCTCCACTGCCCTCCCAGGCCACAGCAGAGAGCTGGACTGGAAGAGGAGCAACCGGGACTAGAACCAGCGCCCATATGGGATGCTGGCGCCGCAGGCAGAGGATTAACCAAGTGAGCCATGGCACCGGCCTTCTTCTCTTTCTCTTTAAAGATGTGCCATCTGAGCCTGTCCACTTAATTTTTATTTATCTAAAAGGCAGACAGAGAAAGCAGAATAGAGAGATCTTCGTTCCGCAGGTTGCTGGTACACACCCCAAATGCCCACAAGAGCTCGAGTTGACTCAAGTTGAAGCCAGGAGGGAGGAAGTCAACACACACGATTATCGGGAACCCAACTGCTTGAGCCGTCTCCACTGCCTCTCAGCGTGTCCATTTACAGGCAGCTGGAATCAGAAGCAGAGCCAGGAGTCAAACCCAGGCACTCTGGTGTGAGATGTGGTGTCCCGAGTGGTGTCTTAACTACTGGGCCGAACACAGCCCCCCATCCTTACTGGTGCCCCTTTATTTGCACCTCATATTCTAATTGCATCAATATGACTGTTGTGGGGTTGGTACCATTTTACTTCTTTTTGCCTCATTTTCAGTTTTCCTTGGGAATTCTGGAATGATGTATGTGGGCTCTCTATTTTTTTTTAAATAAAGATTTATTTATTTATTTGAAAGTCAGAGTTACACAGAGAGAAGGAGAGGGAGAAGGAGAGGGAGAGGGAGAGGGAGAGGGAGAGAGGGAGAGGTCTTCCATCTGCTGGTTCACTCCCCAATTTGCCACAACGGACAGAGCTGCGCCGATCCGAAGCCAGGAGCCAAGAGCTCCCTCCGGGTCTTCCCACATGGGTGCAGGAACCCAAGGATTTGGACCATCTTCCACTGCTCTCCCAGGCCATATGAGCCAGGACTTGAACCGGTGCTCATATGGGATACCTTCACTGTAGGCGATGGCTTTACCTGCTATGCCACAGCATCGGCTCCGTACGTGGGCTCTGAAGCGAGACTTGTATAGATCTGGGTCCTGCTTTTGCTGGCTCCTGTCTGTGTGACCTGGCGCATGTTACTTTGCCTTTCTGTTTCAGTGTCTTTGTCTAGAAAGGATAGTACCAGAAGGGTTGCTTCTAGAATCTGTGAGTTGATTCACGGATGCATAGAAGCAAATTCTAACACATAGTAAACACTGCCACATGCTGCCTTTTATTGCTAACAGACACCATCACTTTTAAAGCCCAACTGCACTGCTGGTGAATTGGAAAAATCACAGCACTCATGGCACTTCGCTGGACTCAGTTGCGGCCCAAGCTTTGGCAAAGTGTGGTGCTGCCCCATAGTGGCCATATGTGGAATAGCTGCCATGTCTTGAGGCGATTGGAAATACGTGGAAGTGAGGAAGGGAACATTTTGTCCCCCACCAGACTGTGAGCAGCTAGAGGGGAAGAATGTGTCTTTGTACTAAACAGTTAGTGCAATATTTTGATGTGTTTGGGTATGTGTGATGCTACTTTGCTCTCAACGCCCCCTTTTATTTTTAAAGATGTATTTATCTATTTGAAAGGCAGAGTTAGAGAGAAAGAGAGAGAGATCTTCCACCCACTGGTTCACTCCCCAAATGGCAGCCAGGGCTGGAGCTGGGCCAGGCTGAAGTCAGGAGACAGGAGTTTTATCCCTGTTTCCCACGCAGGTGGCAGGAGTCCTATTACCTGGGCCATCTTTTGTTACCTTCCCAGGCGCATTAGCAGGGAGCTGGACTGGAAGGAAGCGCAGCAGCTGGGGCTCTCACTGGTGCTCACACGGGATGCCAGTGTCACAGGCGGTGGCTTAACCTGTTGCACCACAACACCGACCCCGAGAATACTTCTATGAGGACATAGAGGTTGCTCAATATGAGGGGCATGGAGAAACCTGCCTGTCTCGAGGTCTCAGCTCCGTGAGCCAGCCTCGGTGTCCACGGTGACACCTCAGAGACAGATTGTTGCCATAGTGGTCACTCTTGCTCACCATTAACAGCCAGGGACAACGGATGTGCTGAGAGAACGGCTACAAGATTAGATGGAAGAAAAACACTCCAGGTCTGGATGCCAAGGGGGTCTTTTGTATCATGCTTGCGGGAAGGGCTCAGGACCAGGAGAGATACAGAGGCCAAAGATGTACCTGGGGTGCTGGGCATTACTGAGCGGGCTTTCAGAATTATCCCTTGGGCAAACATATGGGGCAGTGGCTAAGATGCTGCTTGGGATCCCTCCATTCCATGTAGAGTCCCTGGGCTCAAGTCCCAGCTCTGTTTCCAATTCCAGCTTCCTACTAATTCCATGTGTTATATTATTCCCTAAAGATACCATATAGCCATCATTTTGAAGAATACATCCGTTTTCAAAGACTGAGCAAGACTAATACTTTCTAAAGAATGGATCTGTGTGCTCTCCATTTTTTTGGTTTTCATTTAAGACTATTTAGCTCTATTTAGTGAAGGTGTTCTCTCTGGCAGGGACTGAGCTAAACGTGTGCTATGTACTTGGAAGACAGCAGTGAGAGAGACATGTCTGTTGCCACACAGGCACACGAACACACAGAGGAGTCGAGAAGGCATTCGCCTGTCTCTGCACTGTAGTGCTATCTTGTATCACCGTTGCTCCATTCCATTCCAGAGTCTGCGTTGCCCTTATCACCAGAGAAAATACTTGGCTCAGTTTCATTTTTAAGAGTTAACTTGTGAGACTAGAAATGACCACATGTAAACCACCTGTGCTCAGGGAGTGTCCCCCACGTCCCAGACACTGGCGTCCTGAGAAAGTCCCACATTTCAAACCTGCAGTAGGAAGTCTGAAATGTCCTTGAGAGACAGAATGTTAAGAAAAAAGAGAAAGAGGACCTGATGTTTTTATTCAGTTCTTTTCTGTGTCCAGACAAACTTAATTCCGTGTAATGGAATTAAGAGGTTAATCAGGAAGAAATGTAAGCACTGTCCTTTTTCCATATCCTTTCCAGAGCCAGGGAAGACTCGGGGGATGGGTGGAGGGCAGGAGCCACTGTTTCTTTCTTTTTTTTTTTTTTTAATGTTCATTTATTTGAGACATAGGGACAGAAAAACAGAGAGCTTGCATCCCCTGATTCACTCCCCAAATGACATCAGTGTCTGGAGGGGGCCTGGGCTGTGGCCGAAGCTAAGAGTTGGGAAGTCAGTCTCGGTCTCCACTGTGGGTGGCAGGAACCAATTCTCTGAGCCATTTTCTGCTGCCTTCCAGGATCTGCATTAGCTGGAATGCTGGAGTCAGGAGCCAGAGCTGGGAGTTCAACCTAAGTATTGCTATGGGATATAGGTATCTTTTTTTTTTTTTTTTTTTTGACAGGCAGAGTGGACAGTGAGAGAGAGAGACAGAGAGAAAGGTCTTCCTTTTTGCCATTGGTTCACCCTCCAATGGCCGCCCCAGCCGGTGCATCGTGTTGATCCGAAGTCAGGAGCCAGGTGCTTTTCCTGGTCTCCCATG